GAATGAATCCATGCATGCTCACCAGGGGATGCTTGATGCTTCCGCTGTGATGCACCAGGAGAAATTTGGGGGCAGCGTGACTTTCCTCACCTCATATCACTCAGAAAGCACCTGCTGCAGAGGCTGCATGGGGACCGCGCCTGCCGCCCCCCCCTCACACACACAGCCGCTCGCCCTGTGGCCCACGAGGATACCTGGGGCTGTGCGCCCTGCGTCCTGTGGGCTCCGGCTGCTTGTTCTGGGGAGGAGGAGTCTCTCTCTCTCTCTCATTTCCCTTTTGCTCTTTTCCCCCTAAAATAATAAACAACTTTGGGGGCTCAGGAAGGCCTGCATCCTGGACAGCGCTTTAGAGGAAATGGGGTGGGCAAAGCCTTTGCTCCCCACTTTGCTGCCCCTCCTGTGGCTGTAACAGTCACTTCCATGCCTGTCCCTTTCCGGGGACCTGCTTCCCCAGTGTTCCTGGCCCTCCCTGTGGAGAGGGGCTCGCGGGGAGGGCGAGGAAGGGGATACCGGAGGGTGTTTGGGTTATTTTCTTCTAAGTCACGTAGTCACCACTCTGAGGCTTACAGACACTGCCATTCAGTGTGCGCCTGGTTCTGAGGCTACTGGAAGGGCAGAAAGGGGGAAGCAAATCTCTGTTCTGTGGGGGTGGCTGGAACCTGGTCACGCTCAGCGGCACTCAGCTGGAACCTAGCTGGACAACAGGACCTTCTGCCCGTGCAGTCTCTAGCAGACTCAGGGGGCTTCTTGTAAGGCAGCTCAGGGTCCCCAAGAATATAAAAATGGAAGGTGAAAGGGAGTCCCAGGGCCTGCCTGAACTCGAAGGTGGGGGGCTCCACAGTGGGAGACATATTTCAGGTGTCACCAATGCAACAGCCTAGCAGCCTTGGGCCAGGTCAAGAAGGAAGAATGGACAGGGTCACCCAAGGACTGACGTGACCCCTTTGCCCCAGTGCTGGGGCCGTGGGGTTTGACTGATGTGGGGTCTAGCCCCAGCTTGGTCACTTCTCAGCTGCTCAACCTCCTTGGGCTGGAGGCTCAGAGCAGCCTGGCCTTCCCCCTCCTCCAGTGTGCTCCTGGCACCTGAGCGGGCGGGCAGGGACCCTGGCCCGTGTGAGCGCTGCCCCAGGATGTTCCTGGGCTTTCCCTTCCCCACGCTCCTCTCATGTCCACCGTGCTCCCAAGGAACCCCTGCCTGCCTCCTTCCCTGGACATTCTGATGGGTCCCACACAGAGGCCCCGCCTTCTCCCCGCTGGTGTGCTCCAGGCTGCCCGTGCTCCTCGGGGCCCCTCCACGTCCCTCTGTCACCTGCCACCTGCGTGGCAGCCCTTTGAGCCTAGGATCTGAGCCCAGGGCAGTGGCTACTCCTTGTCGAGCTAAATAAGGCAGGCCAGCACCAACACCGCTGCACAGATGGCCACTGTGCTGACTGCACCTTTCAGCTGGGAGGCCTTGGGTAGAGGCAGCAATAGCTGCTTGGACTCTTGCCAAAGAGGCCACACGCAACAGACCCAGGGCTCGCCAGGAGGTGAGCACCTGGAGGAGGGAGGCCTGAGGTTGGGGCTGGGGGACGGGTTCTGTTTTGGAGACGGCTCCCTGCCTTGGCAGAGAACCCTGCCCCTCGGTCTCCTTCTCCCTCCTCAGGGTCAGCTCAGGGCCCATCACAGATTAGGCCACAGGGCTGGCGAGTGGCAGGGTCCGGCTGGAGGTCTAGGTGACGCCACGGCCACGCTTTCCCGCTAGGCAGTGCCACCTCATGGAGGCCAGCCACCCCTGCCCTGGCGGGAGAGGCGTCACCTTTCCTCCTAGCGGAGAAGCCCCAAGAAGCCGCTGACCCGCTGCAGGGGAAGGAGGGTAGCTTGAGTAGACAGAAGTGGCTGTGGAGGGCATCAGAAATGGCATTCTTTATTCATAAATAAAAACATAAAATCACCAGCAATAGTTTACATGGCCAAAGGGGGCATCAAGATAAAATAAAACGAAGCTGTCAAAAGTAAAGCAAACCAACAACAAGAAACAACCAAGGGAAAAATAACTGTGTACACATTCTTCCCAATGCTAGTCCATCCAAAGGCAGCCTCACTGGGGATTCAGGCTCTGCCTGCAGACACAGCAGGGACCCTCCACGCTGGAGGTAAGGGAGCACCCACCTGCACAGGGGGAATGAGTCCAGCCAGGAGAACTCGGGGTCCACAGGGAGTGCCCCTCCCAAAGCCAAAGCTCCAACAGCCCAGCCTGGCTTACCCCTGGGCATCCCTGGCCAGGTTGGGACAAGACTAGGGCAGGGCAGGGGCCCAGCAGGTGCTGCTCAGGGAGGTGGCCCCCAGGACCCCTAAAGCTCAGTGCCCACAGTGGCAGAGCGCACTCAGCAGGAGTCACCTGGACTAGTGGCCAAAGGCGACACCGTGAGAGTCTGGTCATCCCAGGTCCCAGAGGCAGAATCCCGGTTTGGAGAGGTGGAGCTGACAGCGGGCGCATTTTCGGGCCGGGCATTCTCTGGGGAGGGTGCGAGTAGGCTGGCAGCCAGTGGGGGTGCTCAGAGGGAGGCCGCGCTCACGCTGGCCCTAGCCAGGCTGCCTGCGCTAGCCCCCCCACCCCCCAGCCCCTGCTCAGCCCCGCTGTTCACTGTTCGGAGCCTCCTGGAGAGGCTGGTCTGGCGTGGGTCAGGAGAAGTAAGGACATTTCTCCACAGGGCGGGGAAGACCACATGGTGGTAAGGTTGCTATGTTACAGGACACTGATGCACTCTGGTGCCACTGTGGGCCATCCTGGGCCTCGAGCTGATGGTGGCCAAGGGAGGGCATCCGTGGGTTGGCTAAGGGCAGGGATGTGGGGTGCAGGGCATGATCACACCATGGTTAGCACCCACTTCCCCTGGTTAGCATCTACCTCTTCTCAGGTGAGGGACTGCTCTTTGGGAGGGGTGTGGGGAGTGTGTCCAGCCTGGGGAGGGGGCAGCCGCCCCTCTCTCTTCCTGTGGGGCGGTCTCCCTGGGAGGAAGGACTGGACAAGGCACGGGCTGGTGGAAATGGAGGGACGAAGGGCCCTGGCACAGGGCATGGAACATCTTTGACTTGGGGTCTGCACTCTGCCCAGGCAGTGCCCTCCAGGTGGGGGGGACTCGGCCTGTGGAGTCCAGGTTTAAATCAGGCTCATGACCAAGTGCCATGGCTTCCAGTCCCAGGAACGATCTTGTGTCCGTGAGGGCAGCAGGGCAGGCACAGCTTACCCCGGGACCGGGCGGCAGAGCCAGCGCAGAGGAGGTGGCCCTGCCTTCACCCCAGACTCGGGAAGGAGCATTGTGGGCCCTGGAGGGGCTCCATTCCCACTGGGGGCAGGTAGCCAAAGGTCAGAGGTCAGAGAGGCAGACAGGGGTTGGTGAGGAACTGCTCAGTACCCAGACTTTCCCAGCCCCCTTGCCTCGTGGCCCCAGCAGGCAGGCATGAGGCGCAGGAACCCAGCGAGGGCTGGCTGTCCTAAGAACAGCAGCTGTGGCTAGAGTCAAAAATAGAACATGGAACAGCCTGGCTGCCTGCTAGATCGGGCTTGCTTCTGAAAAGACAAGAAAGAAAAAGAAGAAAATTTCTGAAACACGCAACTGAGAAACTCTACCTTTTCTGCCCTCCCTAGCCCTGCACATTTCCAGAAAAGAAACCCAGCCTCCCCGGGCACTGGCCCAGGCCCAGCAGCGGCAGCCTCCAGCTTCCTGGCAGTCGGGCTCCTGTGGGGCTGGGGTGCAGGGAGGCCCACTGGCGGCCCAGGGATGTTCAGAAGGCCGGGTCGGCACCTCTCACGCTCTCTGCCTGGGGCTCTGGCCACCGGCACTCTGAGGACCCCTCCTGACCAGGAAGGACGCTTGTCTGAACTTGGCACTGGAGGTGTGCCAAGATCATCCGGAACCATCTTAGTGGATACAGGTTATTTTGGATCCAGTAAAGGCTTGATTCTTGGGAAGAAAACAAGTTCAAAGTAGCTGCTGGCCAGCTTCAGCCAGGTAGGGAGGCCTTGCCCCAGACCCCACCAGGAACGCTCCGGAGGCTGTCCTCAGGGCAGCTGGAAAGCCACGCCCTGTCGTGGTGCCTTCAACCTTCCCTCCGAGCACCTGCCCAGGTCCTCAGGATCTATGGCTTTAAGAAAAGTGGTCACCACCCTGGCCGGTTTGGCTCAGTGGTTAGAGCGTCGGCCTGCGGTCCAGAGAGACCCGGGTTCGGTTCCTGCTAAGGGCATGTACTTCGGTTGCAGTTTGTCCCCGGCCCTGGTTGGATTGAGTGGGTGGCAGCCACTTGATGTGTCCCTTTCATGTCGATGTTTCTCTCTCTCTCTCTTTTCCTCTCTCTCCCTCCCACTCTATCTGTACAAAAATGGAAAAAAAAAAAAAAAAATAGAAAAGTGGTCACCGAGGTCAAAGGCCACCAGCCACCCAGCGGCTGCTCACCTCCAATCAGCAGGCCCAGCAGGGTCTGGCCTTGACTTCGGAGCTCCTCCCTCTGCCGTGGTGGTCCTTGCTGAGCAGGCTTTCCAGGATCGGGCAGGGCCGACACAGGTAAGCCAGGCCCTCCACACCCCACTCCGACCCTCACCTCCTCAGCCAGAGGAAGAGCTCAGGTTATGACCAGGTGAGGTTACAAGGGCTCCGGTCACAAATGGCTTCTTTCTGTTCCCAAGACGTCCCAGTATATCCAGGGGAGAAAGATTATGGGAAGCGAGGGGGGTCACTGGCCTTCAGGCAGCCGCCACCCCTGGGGTAGGGTATCTCTGTGTTTGAACAAAGGCCAGGGTTAAGGGAGACCTCAACCAAATGAGGGGACCCTGGGCCCTCTCTGGAGGGCTGCAGAGTGGTGAGCACCGGACCCCGGGAGGCCACGTGGCAGTCCCTTCTCTCCCTCCGCCCTCTCCCCTTGAGGACCCCTGGTCTGTGCCTGGGCAGGCTTTTCTGAGACGGGCCAGTCACTGAGCAGGGGAGAAGGGGAGGGGAGTCCGCCTGGATGGGCTCCGCACCGCTGCCCCCCAGCGCCAGGTCCCAGCTCTCCTTCTCCCAGGAGGCCTCTCAGATCTCGGTGGCTATGATGTCCTCATAGGGGATGTCAGCCCCTTCCAGGTCAATCTCCAAAGGCTCCCCTGCACCGTCCCTGTGGGCCAGCTGCTGCAGGGCCTTCTCCAGGCGCTGGTTCCGCTGGTACATGGCCAGGTAGCTCTGCTGCAGCTGCTTCTGGTACTGGATCACCTTCTCTTTCTCCTCCTTCCAGACCAGCCGCTCGTGCTGGAAGCCGGAGGACATCTGGTCGTGGCCTTGCCGCTGCTCCTTCAGCTCAGCCCGCAGCCGCTCTAACTCCCGCTGCAGGGCAGGGCTGTCTGCAGAGAAGGCGGCCCCCGGCGCGGGCCCCAGCCCCAGCCCCCGGGACACGCAGTCCCGCTGCAGGGTGGCCTGGGCCCGCAGCTCCTGCAGCTCCTGCTCCAGCAGGCTCACCTTCTCCCGCAGGAGCTCTGACTCGTTCTTCTTGCGCTGCAGCTCGTTCTCACAGACCTCCAGCTCCAGGCCCTTGGTGCGCAGAGCGCTCTCCAAATCCCGCGTCTTCAGCTCCATGCCCTCCAGCTTGCCCCGCGTGTCCTTCAGCTGTGCCCTCAGACTGAGGATCTCACTGGCCTTGGCATTGACCTCCATCTGGGATTCCTTCAGCTGCTGCTTCAGCAGAGAGATCTCGCCTGACTTCTGGCACACCTGCCGAGGGTCGGGGGTCGGGGTGGGAGAGAAGAGAATGCCAAGAGGTGAGAGGTCACCTCCCGGGGCAAGTTACATCTCCACTGCCCCACAGAATGAAGCTGTCCTGACCCAGAGCCCCCGGAGTTCCTAGCGTGCTGGGCTGAGTGACCCATGAAGGCCACGCCCTCCCTGAAGCTCATTTCGATCTGGAGTCTGGCTCGGTCTGTCCACATGACTCCCTCACCCCCAACTCAGAGTCAGAATCTCAATCTATACCCAAGCCTAGGGTCACGTGTCAGTTGATGATCAGTGGTTTAATCTGCCCAATGCTGGCCTCTCCATTGTCCACATTTAGCATCAATGGTATCGATCTCCGTGTCTGCCATGTTTCTATCGCCACGTTTCACACACACTCTGACCTCTGCATGTGCCCAGCTCCCCTCTGCTCCCCACATATTCACCCCCACAATTCACCCCCACATATTCACCCCATGATGAGCACCGTGCCTGGTTCAGAGACAGGGCCCAAATCCTGTCCACCAAATGATAAAAGACTGTGTTCTCCCTGCCCTATGTCTTCGCCATTTCTATTCCTATTCCCCAATGAATTTGGCCAAGATCCGCAAACAAAGCCAAAGGCGCTGTGCGTTTCTGGGTCGTGAGTGGCTCAGAAAGAAGAGGACATAGGCCAGTCTGGTTGAGTGTCAGTCTGGTCGTGCGGTGGGAAGCCTGGGCCTCCGACAGGAGGGGACCAGCTGGGTGTCCTCACTGTCCTCTCATGGTAGCAAGCCGCGGCTGTCCTGAGCCGCCTTGGGAGCCTTGGCTGGGTGGAGAGGGCCCGTCCGGGGCCAGGCCTGCGCCGCTACGGAGGGAGCAGCAGTCACAGCCGAGGCGTGGGCCTGGCTTGGGACCCTGACTGGACTATGACCTGCATGACCGTTAGCATAGTGGCAATATGGTGTAGTGATGGAAAATCTGAACTCGGGCCACGCTGTCAGGACCCAGTCCTGGCTCTGACACTGACTGCGTGGTGCCCAGGCCCGCCGTTGGCCCAGCTGCTCCCTGCCACAGCCCCTCTGCCTCCGGCTCCTTAGCTGTGAAACGAGGGTCAGCAACAGCACTCACTGCGCGGGCCTGGCACTTAGCGAGCACTCTGCACGTGGTTGTCATACACGTCTGAATCAACGTCTTTAATGTCCTGTTCTGCTGTCTGGTCTGGCTGGACAACCAGGAAGGAGGCTCACAGCTCTGGGACGGACGAGGATGGGGCCCGAGCCTGAGGACTGTGTCTCTCTGAGACGCCCCCGGGTGCCCGGCCCCGGCTGAGAAACGGGCAGGGCAGGGTCTGCCGTGCGGCTGCTCCCACGCCGGCAAGCTGTCCGCTCTGGAAACCTGGCACACAGGAAGTGACTCTCCCTTCTCACCTGTCCAGCCCCCCGCCCGCCTCTCCCTCAGAAAGGACCCTCTCCTCCACTCCGGGCAGCACTGTCATTCTGGTGCCAGTCACTTCCAGGATCAGTACAGACAGCTCCGGCGCAGGCAGACAGCTGTCCTGCTAGGGTGCTGGTGCGGGTCCAACCAGACGCGGTGACCCTCAGTCCCTTCCAGGGTGCCGTCTGCCTGGTGAACCACAGAGCTGCTGATGTGCCTGCCCCACCTGCCCAGGGGCCCCCCAGCGAGCGAGCTGCTCTCGGGAGCAGGGCGGGGGTCAGGCTAGTTGTCTGGCAGGGCCGGTGGCAGAGGCCCACTGCCAGGTGTGTCCGAGTGCACACGTGCGCCCGTTTCGTCCCGTTGTTTCCATCTCAGACGCTTGATAGAACCCCCACCCACCCTTCTAGGGGGAGAGACCCATTCTGGCACTGAGACTTGTCACAACAGCGGCCACAGAGTGACAAACCCGGTGCTCTCTCATGGCTTCCGGACCAGCACAAACTCAGGCATGGATGTTCGCACTGAGCCCGTGAGCAGACGAAGGGAGTTGGCCCTCAGACGCCCAGCTAGGCATTCCTTCTTACGGTTCCAGCCTCTTGGCCAGCAACTTGGTCAATAAATTCCATTCGGGGACCATGAGGCACTGAGACAGGGAGAGAGTAAGGAGCGCAGACTAAGTACATCCCCGGCGCGGTTGCCAGGGAGCCCCTCGTGTGGGTCACGAAGCCTTTCCACACACCCCTGGCCAGAACCTGGAGCAGGGGAGGGCCCCACACCAGCCACGGAGCCCCCCATGTCTCACCTCCCACTGGGTCTCCTCCAGCGCGGGGGCGAAGCTGGTCTTCTCCTTCTCGTAGGACCGCAGCTTGGTCTCCAGCAGGTCCTGCTCCTTCATGAGGCTCTCGAGCTCCTGCCGCAGCTGCCGCTTCTCCTGCTGCAGCTGGAGCACCTGCAGCTGCAGCACCTGCTGAGTGCGCTGGCTCTTCTGCGGGGCTGCCTTCAGCTTGCTGCGCGGCTCCGGGCCCTCCGGCTCCTCCTGGGAGCGCCACGGCCGCTCCTCGTAGGCCTGGCTGGGGGCCGGCTCCTGCCCCTCGAAGCTGCGCCGCAGCTGCTGCAGCTCTCCCTCCCTCTCCAGCAGCTTCTGCTCGAGCTCCTGGATGGCGCACTCGTCTGTGGAGATGGGCGAGCGCACGCACGAGGAGCCCCTGTCCGCCTTGCTCGGGTGGGCCAGCTTGCTGCCCCCATCAGAAAAGGACAGGGCCTTCAGGCTCATCATGTTGCTGTCCTGGAGGAGGATGCCCTGGGTGATGTTGTGGGCTGAGCCCCCGAAACGACTGGCAGGTCCCATGGCTGTGACCAGCGGGTCCAGCTGGTAGCTGCTGCTGGTGCTGTGTGTGGGCAGGCTGGACATGGAGTTGCGGCCAGAGTCAGACAGAGCCCCGGAACACAGGCTGGGCTTCAGCTCCTGCTCTTTGGGCCTGTCTGGAGGGGCGGCGTGCAGCTGGTGGCCGGCGCTCTCGGGGGAGGTGTGCAGGACGGCTCCCGATCGTGGCAGCACGGGCTTGAAGGCTGTGGGCCGCGCTGCACCCTTCTCTGAGGCCTGGGGAGAAAAAGAAGCACACGCCTTGTGTCTCCCTCCCCAACCAGCCACGTGGCGCCCTTGGTCATGGCCCTAGGCAACCTCGCCTGATGCTCTGAAGCAGCCCAACTTGCTGAATCTCTGAGGAGAAAGATTCAGTGCCTGGGGGAGGTCCTTAGCAATCGCCCATGGACTGCCCCGGCACCAGCTTGCCCAGCCTGCCGAGACAATGCCCAGCTCCAGCTCTGTCTCTGTGGTACAGGCGGGGCCACTGGGCTGGGTGAGCACGGTGTCCCTGTAGAATCAACCCCTTGCTCACCTCCACTGGACACCACTGTGGCCTCCTCAAATCACTTGACATAACCCTTTACTCAAAATTGTCATTTTCGCTGATAGAGTACTTTGCAGTTTATAATCCCTTTAGTCTGAAAGGCTTGAGGCTCTATGCAAACCCACGGGCCAGTCCTAGTGCGAAGACCGTGTGGGGCGGGAGGCCGGAACAGGACTATGGTTTTGGCATCCACTGCTGGCCCCATGAGATGCTCATGTGGCATGAGGACTGGCTTCTGGGTGTGTAGGACTCTTCTGCCTTCATTTCTGCTGAAGATGACGGCAAGGAACTCACAGCCGTCGTCCAGCCTGACGGCGCCTGGCGGGCTTGAGCGAGAGGCCGCCCACCACCAGGACGCGAGGAGGAGCCTGGCAGCAGGACCCTCATCTGCTCTTCCAGACGATGCCGGGGCTCCCTGTCTGTCCCATGCACTTGGCAGTCCAGCCACATCCGGGGGAGCGCCGAGAGCCCGCCCTTCCCCTCCGCTGTCTGCTTAATGGCTCGCCGGGACTGGCCAACACTTCGCTGCCCTCGCCCTGTCGTCGACCTCTGCCGTGCGTGCGGCTGAGCCCCTCTGCCCTCACCGGGTGCTCTGGCCTTTCGGGGATCTAGACGTCTAGGTCACCGCTGTGCCCCCTCCCTGGGCTCTCTCCTGCCATTCCAACCCACCCGCCCTCACCAGAGACGCCCCACTTACCATTTCTAGCGGATTGGAGAAGGGCATGAGTTTGGGTGGGGTAGATGGGCCAAAGTCCACCCCAGCTTGGCCCCCTAAGTCTCCACTGGACAGTGCAGTGTAATCGGGGTGGTGGGAGCCCCGGGCCTTCTGGCTGACTTTGATGTAGAAAAAGTCTTCACTCTTTCCCATCTTGGAGCTGGACTTGCCATGACCCGAGTCCTGCGAGAAGCCGAATCTGAGCAGCCCGTCCGAGTACCGGTTGAGCTTCTTGAGGTGGGAAGACTTGCGCAGCTTGTACTGGGAAGCCCGGCAGTGCTTGCTGTGGAAGCCGTGGCCGGAGATGAGGCTGCTGACGCTGCCCATGGCGCCGGGCGGCCGGGGACGGGCAGGGTGCGGCGGGGACCTGGCGCGGCGGCGGCGAGGGGCAGTCCTGGCTCCCTGAGGGGACTGCGGTCATAGCCAGTGCCTCGCAGAGCCTGGGAGGGCGCGGACCTGGAAGAGACACGGGGCTGGTCACTGCGGTCCTCGGTGGTGCCTTGAAGAGGAGCCACTCACTGCTGGGCCCGGGCACTGGAGACATGGACGCGTCTCCAGGCTCCCTTCGTCCCACTTCCACAGGCCTCCACTGCGGGCCTGCTTCTGCGGGGTGCTGTTCTGGGCACGGACAGTCGAGACTCAGACACTGACCTCTCTGGGCTCGTGGGCTCGTGTTTAGTAGTGTGGACAGGCCCTGGACAAACACCTCAGGTGACAGAGGTGCTACCGGAAGCAAAGCAGAGTGCGTGGCACAGAATCCTGGGAGGGTGTGTATACAGGGAGCACAAAGGGGCCTCTCTGTTGGGGTATCATTTAAAGAGACCCCCCAAATGAGGGAGCGAGCTACATGGGAATGTGGGGAAGAGAGAAAAAATGCAGAAGCAGCCCCGTGTGCAAGGTCCCAGTCCCTGCGCAGGAAGTGCCTGGCACAGGTGAGCCCAGGAGGGTGGGGGAGGAGGAGTCAGGTGCCGGCAGACCGGCCACTCAGAGCCTGTGGCCTGAGGGCCTCGGCTGTTCCTCTGAGGGCTCTGAGCAGGACATGATCTGACAGGCTGTGGAAGGCCCCACTGGCTGCTGGGTGAAGAGGCTGAGGGGCCTGGGTGGACATGGTGGGCCAATTATGTCAGGGGAGTGGCTACCGTTTTAGATTTCAAGTTTCCGCTCATAGGATCTAAAGGGTTGAATGCAGGGAGCAAGAGAAAGAGGAGTCAGGATGACTCCACAGTTTTTACCCAAGTAACTAGAATATGTTGTGATTTATTGAGATGCAGAGACCACAAAGGGAGCCGTGGGGGATGAAGTGGGCTGGGAGTGGGAGTGGGGTGGAGACGGGAGCAGAGCTGGAGAGTGGGCGGCGGGCGGGAGCCCGGAGGCTGCAGATTTCTCTGCAGGAGTTGCTGCGTGGACAAGCCAGCTGCAGACGACAGGAGGTCCCTGCGGAAGTGAGGGCAGGAAGACAAGAGGAGTCTGAGGCGGGCTCCTGGTGGCAGGACGCTGGGGAGAGTGAGGAGGAGAAACTGAGAACCTTCCAGCAGATGCAGGACACCTAAGGGGGCCACGTCAAGACGCCGTCTCAGGGGACGGTGTCAGTGCTGCTGAGGTAAGGAGATGGCTGGGAATCGGTCACGGATTTGGCCATGACAAGGTCATCAGTGGCCTCGGCAAGAGCAGTTTTGGTGGAGTCGTGGGAAGAAAAGCCTGACTGGAGAGGGTTCAAGAGAGAAGGAGGAGAAAAATAATTACACCCTTGAACGTGGAGAAGTGCGTGATACACGGTTTGGATTCCCAGTTACGCCCCAGCCAGCTGTGACAAGTGAAGTAAACTCTCTAACGTCAAGTTTCAGTTTCATTAACTAATTCTAAGACACACTTAATTTAAAACAAAGTAATAGGGCCCTGGATGATGTGGCTCATCAGTTGGAATGTTCGCGCTCAGACCGAAGGGTCAGAGGTTTGATTTCAGGTCAAGGGCGCGTACCTGGGTTGCAAGTTTGATCCTGGCCCTTTTTTGGGTTGTTGGGGAGGCAACCAATAAATGTGTCTCTCTTAAATTGATGTTTCTTTCACTCTCTCTCCCGCCTTCCCTTTTACTTTATCTGAAAATCGATGGAAAAATATCCTTGGGTGAGGACTACCTCCCCCAAAAGTGATAGGAATGCATCTTATAATAAATGCTGAAAACAATAACAACCTTGCCCATCACTGGACAGAGGATGAATACACAGGACGTCAGTACCAATACACTTGCAGATTTAAACAAATCTGTAAGCAGAGGTCACATGATTTTCAAAGCAAAGAAAAGCTGTGTCGTCATGCGTTGTGAAGTACTCCATAGCCAGCTGCAAGACAGCTGATCACACTTAATAAATTAGGAAGCCAGAAGGAACCCTGCGCATTTATTCTGCTATAAACGATGCTGTTGATCATGAAGGGGTGCACGATGTTTCAGGCAGATTATGGGGCCTGTGTGTGGGGCCAGGAGACTCCTCAAGTCTGCATGCGAAGGCTCGAACTCAGCCGTGCATGATTATCTCGGAGAATCAAATGGTTATATTATGAGTAAACATGTTCTGTGTTCCATTAGTGAACTCACAACACAACAGAACGTCAGTAAGTGTGGTGTATGTTTGCCTATGAGAAGTCGTTACGAAGCAGATGGCCTCTCAGAATCAAGGAACCGCAGCCACACCTGCCCCGGGGTCACTGTGAGGAGTGCAGGAGTCGCCTCCATAAGTTAAGGGGCATGTGCTAGGCATTCAGTAAGTGGGGCATGTGCTTTGGTGTCTATTATCACTTACTACCCTGCCCTCCAGCGTGCACCGTCCCTGTCATCTCCAATGTCCCCCTCCAGAATGAGTTCTTGCTCTTCCAGATGCGACTCCCGACAGTGCTACCTAGGAGCACAGAGCTCCTCTGTTCACTTAAAGGTGACAATGACAAAACAGACTTCTCATCCCCCAGGTCATCCATCTCTTGCTTAGCTGAGGCCTTCAGGTCCTTTGAAGCAAAAACTCTTCTGTTTCCCACACGTAGGAAAGCTACCTTTGGCTCAAAGACTCCTGCACTCTGCACATTACACCCCTTGGGCAACTGGCGACTGACTTCTCGCCCCTCCAATGGCACATCGTGAGCATCCGCATGCACAGTGTGGAGATAAGGCAGAACTGGATTTGAAAGTCAACTCCTCTGAGGTTTCTTCGCTTATAAAATAAAAATGACACCTATGTCAGAGGATTGGTATGAGGGGGAAGCAAACTAGGCGGAGTCAAGGGCACTGCGTGGCACACGGTGGGTGCTCGACAGATGTGTGAGCAGAGGGAGTAGGAGGCGGGGTGGATGTGTCCTCCGGCTGCACCGCCACCCTCTCTCCTGCACCTTGAGGCTGAGTGCACACTGGTCTTGCACCAGTCTGTCTGCTCGTCTGAAGTGGCACAACCACCGCCACCCTGGTGAGACCCTTCACGGCTTCCCACTGTCCCAGAGTAAAGCAGAGTTCTTGCCACGCCCTGCGGCCCCCCGCGGCCCTGGTGCTGCTGCGGCTCCAGCCGTCTCTCAGCCCTTCTCCCCTTGCTCATAACCAGTCACAGCCCGGGCTCTGTTCTGTGGGCTGAACGTGGAGCCTTTGCCGCCGAGGGCTGACAAGTCTCTCCCCTTCGCTCCTTACACAGAGCATTCTCTCATCCTTCAGTCCTCAACTCAAATATCACTTCTGCAAGGAGCTTTCTCTGGGTACCCTGGGGAAATCCCCCATTACTCTGTTGTTCCAATCTGTTTGTTTCTTTGTAACATTTGCTTTAACCTATAATCATCTTATTTTTAAATGTGTGTGTTGTGAATATGTCCACCAGAATGTAAATTCCGTGAAGGCAAAGACTTTGTATCTATAGCTCCTAGAACAAAAATGAGGAAAATGGGCACAGACTCAGAGAGGTTAGATGACCTTGGCCCTTGTTATTCAACTGACCAGTGACCATGGTGGAACCTTCATCCAAGTTCCATGAACCCACACTACAGCACACTGGGGAGGACTTTCGGCGAGCCTCCGAGATGTTAGGGGTCAGTCCTGGACAGCAAAGTGAGTGTCCAGGGTTGGGGAGAGAAAGCTGGGAGGACAAGTCAAGGTCGCTGACTCTGGCCACAGCTTCATTTCCCTTCTGGGCGGATAGCAGCAAGGTTTTAAGCACAGGCGAGCGAGCCCCTGTGCACCTGACAGCAGCCTTGTGAAGCTCAGCCCTGTTCTAGGCCCAGCGGGTGGAGAGGAAAAGACCAATGATGCGGGGAGCGAAGGAGAGAGGGGTGAAGGATGGTGACCTTGGTTCTCTGAGTGCATTCTGATCCCCTGGTCCCAGCCCTGCCTCCACCCCCCAGGTCTTGACACACAGAGCAGCTTTGAAGTTTGAGATTATCCCCAGATCCACTTGGAGCTAAACTAATTACCTGTAAATGTCTGGACTTGTTCCATTTTCAACTTGGAGAGAACGTCACAGAAAACTTGGCTGTGGTCCAGCCTAATTCCCAGCCCTAGTTTTCCCTCCCACCCAGCCCGGCAGGATTGCGTCTCTGCGCTCAGGAAGGATGGGGGCAGGGGTACACTTTTATTCCTGGGAAACAAGTCCCACTGGCCAGGAGGACACGGATCTCGGAGATTCAAGCAGGGGAAAGAAAGAGGGAAGGACTGGGGAGGAAGAGGGGAAAACCACAGAACCTCACACTGAATATGTTGGAGTAACCTACTGTGCAACCGCCTACTGATTGCAGAGGGAATCCAGCAAGAAGGAGCCCTCAGGTCTTGAGAGGATAAGAGAACAGCTAGTGGAAAAGGACCCGGCCCTCAGGCTATACTTCTCAGAATCTGGCCCAGAGAACTCAGGAGACTTCCCCCAGACCCCGTGCCAGTCCCTCTCCTCCCTCTCTTGCCCTGCAAGTGACTGTGACTGCAACAGGGCAGACACAGACCTGGGTCCGGGGACCCTCAGCTTTGAGCTGCTTCTATTCCCACATCAGCTGCCTTCCCCCACTCCATGCTGCACCCTCCTACCCAAAGGAAACCAGGGCTGACGCCACAGGGACATAGGCCTCGGATCACCTCTCTGGAGGATGGAGACAGGCATGGAAGTGAAGAGGGGCCTGTCTAGACTCAGGAAGGGGAGAAATAACGATACACACCTTCCCAACCCAAACCACAGGGAAAGCAGCTCTGGCCCTGCCCATACCAATCCACACTTCTGGCTGGGGGGGGGGGGGGGTCCATATCCACCCCCCCCTCCCCCAGGCCCGGAGAGGTCACCACAAGATCAGGGTGCTCAGCTTCCAGCACCTCCCTCCTTCTCAGCCTATATTTC